TGGTTGCCCTTAAAGTTAGGCTCGCCACGGTGTCTTAGGCGGGTGTTTGGTTCGTAACCGAAGCAAGGCTCGCCACACTACAGCCACGGTACTTGCCACAGTTTTCTACGTCGAATATGCGGCGAGCTTTTCCTCCGCCTCCGCCTCCGCCTCGCCACAAACTTTGCCACAGCGCCACCCCTCCTCCTACTATGCGGCACCCTGCCATCACCGCTCGTCCCTTCACCACAAGCCCGTCCGCGGCGACCACCGGCTGCACGGGGCCCGGCACACCATGGCATCGCGCCCAGCTATGCTATGCTCGGAGTTGAAGATGACTGCGGGGCACGGCTGCTGCTTGGTCCTGGCGTGCCCGCTGCTCGTCCGTGTCCCTTTCGACACGCGCCCTAGCGTCGCCACGCTACCGCGCCCAGCCATGGTCGGCGGAGTTGAAGACGACGGGCCTGGTGGTGGCTGAGCACGGGGCTGACGAGCGTGGTGGTCGTCGGCGGAGGTCGGACTCATGATTTGAGTTGAGCGGAGGCCGTCCATGGCGGAGGGCCATGGTTCGACTGCTGCATGCCTGTATAGCACGAGGTGTGCGAAGGGCAGTGGGCAGGGAAGCAAAGGGAAGCTTTGAGAAGGAAGGGGATAGAGACGAGAGAGGCATGCGCTCAGCTGTGGACGAGAGGGTCAGTGGCTCAGTGCCTTGGTGGGTGGGGATTTTTTTATTGCCTCAACCTTCCAGTACAAGTTATAGTATTTGAACGCATGCACCAACACACACTAAACACACGTTACAACTCACTCATACCCCTAGTACGTAAGCTAAATCTACAACCTATTAAACACGGTGGAGAGATCTGACAGTTATGGTACATAGGGAACGGAAATTATTTAGGGAACTACTGTTTCCAGGTGAGACACCAACGTCGAAGCCAGGCTTCGAATGTAGGCGGGCAGGACACACACCAGCGATCCTACCCAACTGAGCTACAGCTCAGTTCTCAGGTGAGTGGGGATTGATTGTGTGGATGAGAGCACTCCTGCTGTTTTCCATTTTTTAAGTCATTTTTTTTAATTTTCTCCATGGACGGTTCCTTAAGTGAGATTTCTTTTCTATACTTTTTCTACGCTAATCCAAACATCCATTCCAACAAAATATTTGTTTATTTTATGTGATGATTTGTTTTCTATAATTTCTTGAGAGCTAAGCACATGCTTACCACTATGATTAATTACCTACACCATTGTCAAAATATTTGTGACAGTTATCCTCATGAATGGAATCCGGGCATTTTAACTAAGGCTGCAATCCAAACGGTTACCATAACTTTTTGCTTAACATTTGTAGCAATAAACTAAACAGCAGCCCACTATTTTTGCTACATCTTAGTTATCAGCCAAACACTCCTAATTTGTCACAGAATGTGACTAGCCACAAGTGTGACTTTACCTAACCTTAGACGTGGCAAACTGTGGCCGGCAACAAACAGGCCCGTAAGTATCCACCAGCATCCATCAAAAGCCGCAAGGGAAGTTTCACTGCACTTGCACCAATACCAAATAAAGTTGTAGGAACATGCTTCAACTTACAGGTCTTCAGCATCCTATTTCAACACGACGTGACACAGTTCAATGAGGCGAAAAGGAAATCAAATGGGGCCAATTGCTGCCCTCGTTTTCAACTCTAACTGCATGTTTGTCCCTGTTTTTTTTAAGTTTGCAAGTTTGCCCCTGTTTTTTTTAATCTGAAGCTTCCACCTGCCTCTATTCCATGAAGACTTAACGGTGTTAAGTAAAGGCTGAAAAGACACAAATGTCGTTGGCAAAAATGACCCAATAATTAAAAGGATTTTTTATGTATAGACTTATTGTGGATATATTTTGGACAAATGACATCACATATTTTGTGTAAATATCAAAATATAATAGTTATTTTTGTTTTGGTTGAATCTGTTTTTTCATGTGTGGTATACTAAAAAAACCTGATTTATCATGATTGTTCCCCACGCGATAATCACAGCCACTGGGACTCAGGAGGGTGCTGCCAGCACCGAGGTGCTAATGTAGCTCAAGCCAAGAGAGGCTGTCGCCGATTTCAGGAGCAGGTCCATATGGAAAGTGGCCGCGGCCGAAGGAGACAATGTCGTAGACGGCGCAATATAGCAACTGAGCAAGCACGCTCCCATCGCGAGGTCCAGCACATGCATCTCCTATCTCATGCTGAAACATCTGCAGTCTGCTCTGGAGCACCTGCTGCTTCTCCTCATGACTACCCTGGCTACCGGCCCGGCTCATCGTGCTGGCAGCAGGGGTCACGCGCCCCACGCCGCGTTGCTGCTCCACTACGCAGCCGCCGGCCAGCGCGCCCTCACTCCCCCGCGCTGCTGCTCCGCTTGCCGCGCCGCATCCCTGTTCGCTTGAACTTATCGGTCTGACTTATCAGCCATGGACAGTGTTTTTCTCTCACAATAAATCTGCTTCAGCCGGCTTATCATCCACTGAAATCATCAGCCGAACATTTTTTTGACCCATTATTTACCAGCAGATTTTTTTGACCCATTATTTACCAGCAGCTCACGAAGTTAATAAACAGGGGCAAACGGTAGCTTCGGATTCACAAAACAGGGGCAAATATGCAAATTTAAAAAAAAACAGAGGCAAATATGCAGTTAGAGTTGAAAACGAGGGCAGTAATGTAATTGTCCCAATCAAATGCCATCCGACTGTAACCTCCCAGGCAATGAGGCCTTTGAAAAGTAGCAGCAGTAACTAAGAAACCACAGGAATCCTGAAAGAAAAGGAGAGGGCAGAAAACACCAACAGGGAGAGCAGACAAGTGCTGCTTTCGACGGAAACAGAGAGCAAGACAGGTTTCAATAGAAGTCACGTAGTCAAAGAAAGACCTGACAAAGTGCAGTTCAAAATTACACGAGACATGGCAATATTTGGTTCGAGGAATCAAACCACTCTAGAATATTTGATTTGAAAAATCCATTTTAAATAAGGTGATACATCATAATGACTCTATTACTCAATATGATGGAATTACTTCATTCCTCAAACGAGTACTAATTATAAGTTTGTGAGGAATGAGGTGACGATGCATCGACTCATTTTATTTTACAAACCAAATAAAAAAGTGAGACGTGAGAAGATGGACTAACCTCATATATAGCCACAGCAGTTAGGATCACAATGATCCTGGCCTTGGCATTCAGCGCTGCAGTGCAGAGTGCTCATGGACGGTCACGGCCCACGGTTGGCTGCTGCTCGGTAAGGGACGGAGGATGCCCGTCATTGTGAGAACCAAAAAGTATTGAGACCGTAGCTGAAAATGAAAATACAGCATCCCCTCGAAGCACACAGATACAGAAATTCAGCATATCCTTTATTTCGAAAGCTCCCTCCAGGTAAATAACTTTACTCATACGGTTATCACATTAGTTCAATGATACTGACTTTCTCTGACAGTTACCACCTCCAAGAAAATATTCAAATACAGCATTCCGTCGAAGCACCCAGACACAGAAATTCAGCGTATCCTTCCTTTATTTCGAAAGCTCACTCCAGGTCTGTCATCACATTAGTTAAAGGGTTAAGTCCAATTTACACCCTCCAATTTACAGCAAAGTTCGGATTTCAATCTCGAACTTTAAAACCGGACAACTTTGGTCCTCCAACTCTCGAAAAAGTTCAACTTTCGACCTTTTCGGCGGTTTTACGGATGAACAGTAATTTTTGATATTTTTGGGAGCCCTGAAATTTTATATTATTTCTTCGAGCGTCTTAACGTCCTCAAATGAAAAAACTCAAAACTACAAAGTTGTAGATCTCATCGAGGTCTACAATTTACATATAAAAATTATCTTCATACGACATCGTATAGAAGGGTTTTCTATTTTTGAAATTTGAGTCTCATCATCGACAAAATTGTTTCATATTGTCAAATTTGAAATTTTATATTTTTTTTTGAGCATCTTACTTTTTCAAATGAAAAAAATCAAAACTACAAGTTGTAGATCTCAGTTTTGAGTCTACAATTTAGAAAAGTAAGATGCTCTATCTAATATAAAATTTCAGCACCATATTTTATCGGTTTTCTGAGACTTGAAATTTCAAAAATAGAAAATTGTTCGATACGATGTCGGATGAAGATAATTTTTATATGTAAATTGTAGACCTCAATGAGATCTACAACTTTGTAGTTTTGAGTTTTTTCATTTGAGGACGTTAAGATGCTCGAAAAAATAATATAAAATTTCGGCGCTCCAAAAAATATCAAAAGTTACTGTTCACCCATAAAACCGCCGAGAAGATTGAAAGTTGAACTCTTTCGAGAGTTGGAGGGCCAAAGTTGTCCGGTTTTGAAGTTCGAGGTTGAAATCCAAACTTTGCTGCAAGTTGGAGAGTGTAAATTGGACTTAACCCTTAGTTCAATGATACTGACTTCCTCTGACAGTTACCACCTCCAAGAAAAAAATTCAGTCTCCCAGTTCCAATCGTAGTACTATTCTATCGCCAAAGAAATGTCAAATTCACGAGGACTTGCAGCCATGGAACATTGTGGTGAGACCATGCTTCAACTTGCAGGAACGTAGTTTCCGCTACAGGGGGAGGAAGATTGGTCATCAGCTTACTATTCCAACATGCTAAAATGTCAGTGAGGGAGAACCAAATAAGACACCATCAGACTGGACAACCTCATAGGCAGTGAGCCTTTGAAAAGTAAGAGAGAGCCAAGCCAGAATTGACGAGCATGGTGGAAAAAAGATAGGGAAGAAAACCTCAGCTGGGAGAGCATACACAAAAGTTCTCGGACAGGACCCACAAAGAAGAGACAGATTTTGATCAAATCAAAGTCAAGCAATCTTACGGAGACTTGAGAGCAAAATTCAGTTCAACTGACATTAAAAGCAGGGAGCTTCCTTATTTATTTATTTTCTAGTTTTAATTAAACCGGACAAAATTGATCTATAAATAGTGCACCAATCCATAAAGATTTATTTACAAACAGCATGCCACAAGAGATGGCAGCAGCAGTTAGGATCATAATGCTCCTGTTCTTGGCATTCAGCTATGAAGTTGCGCTAGGGGTTACAGAAAATAAAGTAGAAAAATTCCATGTGGGAGTGGTACTTGATTTGGGGACACCAGTGGGGAAGGTAGCACGCACAAGCATTTCAATTGCTGTGGAAGATTTCTATGCTGTCCATCCGAACTACACCACTCGGCTTGTCCTCCATGTCAGGGATTCCATGAGTGATGATGTCCAGGCTGCAGCTGCAGGTAAATTACATGCTCGGCTATGGACTGACGTTCTATTGTTTTTGCATTTATTTTGGAAGTTTGCTTTTGGACAAAAAGTGAATCTGGAATAGTCTATAAAGAATTAAAGATGTTGTGTTCCATTTGTGTTGTTGCACTAATTAAACAGATATCCCTATATGAAAATGAGAAGGCAGAAGGGTGCTTCAATCTAACCAAATAATTAGCCAATTTCATGACTACTTATGTTGTAATATGGGGATAATTATTAAACAATTATATATGAACTTTCAACTAGACCACTGCAGAATTCCAGCATGTACTTAGAAGGGATCTATCTGTAGTGGTTTTGATGCAGAAAACAAGCTGCATCGATGCATTAGATGAAGCATATGGTTGGTTTTTTTTTCCTGAAATGGTACAGTTTGAAGACTGTTGAAATTTGAAAATCACTTATGCATGGCAAACATGGTATGTTTGTATCTAGTGGCACATCACTTTTGAAATACTGTAGGCTGATTTACCCACAGTTACTTCGTTGACGGTAATGCATCAGCACAGAGAAAAAAAAACTCAATGTCATTGCATTTTCAAGTTGAAATGAATTTAATGGTACCTTCATATGTTGATATGACACCACATGTAACTTTTCTAACATGTAGTTTCAGATTTGGGAGATAACCAACAAATAAAGGAAAAAAGAAAGGGGGGTTGAGGGGCAGCAGGCGTACATGTTGAACTTAAATGCTTGAAAAGATCTGACCAACAGAACCACCTAATTCATTGCTATTAATTGTATCTGAACAATACACTGAATGAATTCTAGTAATCAATCCTATCTCTACATCCAATTTTACAGTTATTGACTTGCTGGAGAAGTACAATGTCCAAGCTATCATTGGACCACAGAAATCTTCTCAAGCTGTGTTTGTATCAGCTCTTGGAAATAAGTGTCATGTCCCAATTATCTCATTCACAGCAAGAAGCGCATATTTATCTTCCCATTACCTTCCCTATTTTGTTCGAGCAACAGTGAATGACTCTGCACAAGTGAGTAGCATCACCTCCATAATCAAAACTTATGGATGGAGAGAGGTGGTGCCCATCTACATGGACAACGATGACGGTAAAGGTATTATTGCAGACCTTGTTGATGTCCTCGAAGGAATAGATGTCCATGTTCCCTACCGGAGTGTGATAGATGAATCAGCAACAGGTGAACAAATTACCCAAGAACTCTACAAGTTGATGACAATGCAAACAAGGGTCTTTGTGGTGCACATGTCCCCATCTTTGGGCTCCCTTTTCTTCACAAAATCAAAGGAAATTGGGATGATGAGCGAGGGGTTTGTATGGATTATAACAGATCGACTAGCAAATCTCATTGATTTACTAAATCCTTCAGTCGTGGAAGCAATGAATGGTGCCTTGGGGGTCGAGTCCTATGTTCCTAAATCAACAGAACTTGATAGCTTCACCATGAGATGGTATATGAGGTCACGAAATGATCATCCAAATGACCCAACATTGAAATTAAACATCTTTGGACTATGGAGCTATGATACGATCTGGGGGTTAGCTCAAGCAGCAGAAAAGGCCAAGGTTACTAAAGCAAAATTTCTGAGACCACCTGCACTGAAAAACTCTACAAGTTTGGGAGCCTTGAAAAATTCAAGAAATGGTCCAGCAATCCTAAAGGCACTCTTGCAAAATAAATTTGAAGGTTTAAGTGGTTACTTTGACCTTTCGGATGGGCAGCTGCAAGTTTCCAAGTTTCAAATAATAAATGTAGTTGGACAAGCACGGAGAGTGATTGGTTTTTGGACTGCACAAAATGGACTGTCACAGCAATTAGACCAGAGGTCAAACATAAAATACCGGAACACCACACATGATCCGAAAATTGTGATTTGGCCAGGCGAATCTACGAAGATCCCAAGGGGCTGGGAAATCCCAACAAATGGGAAGAAGCTTCAAGTTGGTGTAGTCACAGGAAATAAATATCAAAAATACATAGACGTTGTCGAAGATTCCATCACAGGTGTGATTAAAGCAAGTGGCATTGCAATTGATGTTTTTGAGGAGGCAGTAAAGAGACTTCCTTATGCACTCCCTTATGAATATGTAGTATTTAACATCGCAAAGAATTCAAGTTCAAGCTACGATGATTTTGTCAATCAAGTTTACCTTAAGGTAAGAATATATTGGTTTTCTTTTCAAGTTGAAACTATAATTTCACGCATTATGCTTCACAAGATCTGATATTTCCAATATCATGTTGTTATTTCAAATAAATTTAAATTTCTTACTGTTTATACAGCATGCTAGTTTAGTGGATGATGTAAATACCATAATAGAAGAAAAGCTATCTATAAGCCCTTTGTCATTCTTATTGTAGATGAAATGAAAACAACGGATGCCATGTACTGGCATAACACATAATTGCAGTCTTCTGTATTTTATTACGTACTGTCATAAATACGTTTCAATATTGCTGAGGTAAATCATTTTGCTTTATTAAGACATAAATGCTCAACCTTGCAAATTAAACATCAGAATTTAATTTTCGCTATATAGTCCTACCTCTGATTACATAGAGGCTATATGTTTTCTTGTTTAATTTGTTCCCCTTTACGGCTCATGGTTAAACAATTTTCTTTTGCACCCTGACAGAAATATGATATAGCAGTTGGAGACATAACAATTAGGTACAACAGAAGTTTGTACGTTGACTTCACTCAGCCATACACAGAATCAGGGATAGCAATGGTTGTTCCTGTCAGGGAAAGCATAAACAAGAATACATGGATTTTCCTGAAGCCACTCACACCTGGCATGTGGATTGGGACCATAATACTCTTTATCTACACAGGCATTGTGATATGGTTGTTAGAGCTTCTAGGCAACAACAAGGCTATTCATGGTCCAGTTCCCCGACAACTAGCTACGATGATATATTTTTCCCTGTTTGAAGAGAGTGCGTGTCTTAGCATAACTCCTTTTTCCAGTAAATTTTTGGATATTTATAGCTCAATGATCAAGCTGATATACCCTTTTTCTTACCTAGTCAATGTCATGCACAAGTTTTCACAACTCAGAAAAAGAAATGTGTAATGTTATATGGTTTCCACCAAATGCACTGAGTTCATAAGACATGTCTGATGTCTTACAGCACAGATGTGATCAAACAGGGACAAATCCTGTGCAGTTGTACTGAGAACTATCAAGCCAATACGAAATTTTACAAATGCAAGAAGGAATATATTACCATTTTATCACCGTATGCATGTAAAGATTAGCAAATCTGGACATAATGAATTATGTACTTTTTAACTTTGATTTATGCTATCTGAAAAGTATGTTAACTCTCTGCAGATGAGAAGGTGAAACGCCTTATCTCTCGGATCGTGTTGGTCATATGGCTGTTTTTTCTTCTGGTACTCAAGTCAAGCTACACTGCAAGCTTGACATCCATGCTAACTGTTCAACAGCTCCACCCAACTGTAACAAATGTCGAAGAACTTCTCAAAGCTGGAGAATGTGTTGGGTATCCTCATGGTTCCTACATCAAGGATCTTTTGGAAGAAATCGGCTTTGAGGTATCAAAGATCAAGCCCTATGAAAGCCCTGAAGATTTTCATGATGAGCTTTTCAGAGGATGCAAGAACGGTGGTGTTGCTGCACTTGTGGATGAAATCCCATACCTTAAACTATTCCTTGCGGAGCATTGCAAGGGATACACCATGGTTGGACCAATATATAAGAATGCAGGTTTTGGATATGTAAGTTTAGCTATGTTTATTAAAATTACTTTGGCATAACCAAGTTCAAATTCAGCTTTATTCTAGTTTCCACAATGATGCATAATAGTCTGAGTTGGCTCATGATTTTTACAAGGGTACCTTCTTCCACAGGCACTTCAAAAGGGATCGCCAATAATAGGTGACATCTCACAAGCAATCCTCAACATAACAGGGGGAGACACTATAATTCAGATTGAGAAGAAATGGATAGGAGATCAAAACAACTGCCAAAATGTGGGCACCATCTCTGGTTCAGGCACACTCACCTTTGAAAGTTTTGCAGGACCGATCATTGCTACTGGAGTTGCCTCAACCACCTCTCTTGTGGTCGCCTTAACAATTTATTTCTGCAAAAGCAAACAAGTAGAACATGAAAATGGTGGTTCAGATGACATCTTGCCACAAGGAGAAATTAAAGATGGTGGACATGCAGAAGGCCAGAGGCAAGAAGCCGGAGCAATAGAGATGCATGAACAAACAAACAAGCTTATGTACAGTGGGCCCCTTGTCATTTACAGATGTGAAAGGATTTCTAGCCTGCCAGTATCAAGTTCGGCCAAATTTTTGCTCAGTTGAATTTGTAATTAAGCTTGTTAGAGCCGAATTGTTTTTCGCCAAGATCTAGCATGTTATCCTTACAGTTAGCTGAAGTGATCCTTACTCGATTTTTAAGCGTGAGACATTTCAGGTGACACTCCAAGACCGATTGGATTAGGCAGATGTGCAATCTAGTTGGCACAGCACCTGTCTTGCCTGCTTTCGGTCTTGGTACTCTCACCCCTCCATTAGAAACCCAAAATCAGGATCACAAGTTGATAACCAAAGGAATCATGAGTTAATGAGCCCAAAGCCACTACAACATTCAGAGGAACGTTTTTGTTTCCTGTCAAGAAAAAGAACAACAGCTGAGAAAAAAAAATTAAACGTTTGCCTTTTAGCCCTAGTCCTAGCGGGATCTTTCCACATTTTATCAACATAAAAGTGTTCAGATGGAGTACAAACAAGAGCCAAGTAATGTGAGACTCTGAGTAACCTGCAAAGCCTTCGAGCACCTCAGGCGGAAAGGATCCCAGAGGCTGCTGACCGCCCATCAAAGCAATTTCTACTCGGAATCAGGCAGATTGAAGAATAAAGTGACGAATGTTAGCAAAATAAAACGAATAAAACAGAGTAAGGGGTCTCGTGGGTTGGATAGTTACCTTATTGCTCGCTCAAAGCCAGAGCCATCTCAGTGCTAGCAGGATGCAGAGTTCAGCAACCTGAAACGTGGGAACCGCCTATCTGGTTGCAAGAAAGTTGTTAGGCTGCGAAGCACGGTAGGGCTACGCGGCGGGACGCAGAGGTGGGAGTGCAGCGGACCGGCCGCCGGCGCCCGGCGGCGGAGTTGTGGCGGAAGTCGTGCCGCTCATAGGCCCACGGTATGGGCCCGAGCTGCCAGTAGCTAAAGTCCTTCTGGGCCACGAGTGGGCCAAAATCGATGGGCTCGATGGAAAACTTCTTAGCGGACTTTCCAGTTTGAGGCTAATCAAAAGGAAGTAGAGGTTTTGAAAGGTCAGCACGGAAGCACCATATCTTCAATAGGGTTCCATGCATGGAGAGCATCTCCGGCGAGAATCAGTTCCACCAGGTTCATCATGTAGCGTTTGTTGTCTCGGATTCTCGGGAATTCTAAAATTTCGATGCGCCAACGTGTCCTTCCGGAACGCCAATTTAATCGTTCGTCAGCACTCGCCACGCTGAATAATCCCTTGACAGGCTTTGGAGTTTGGAACTTTGGATGCATGCACACTTTTTTGCCTGAGATGATTGCTAAGTCTCATCTGCCGACTGCCGATGCCCCCAAGTCCCCAACAGCGACCCGCTCGATAGATAGATTAGAAGAGAGAGCTGAGTAACGGAACGTAGGATAAAATAATGGAATCTAAAAGGCAGAGCTAGTAGACTCCAAAAACCGCCATCCGTTTCGGTCTATCATAAGATTTGCACGGCCGAAGTATACATTGCTCTGGGGCTCTGAGTGATCCTAGGCATGGTCGCACACGGAGTCACACGGCCTCGCTCACAGTGGTGCTCCGGGTGCAGCCTGCGTGTGTGGTTCGCGCTGCACCTGCACGCGATGTATAATGCGACGCGACTGTGAGTGTGAGGAGGACCGGTCGATCGGCGGCTGGGAGGCATGATGAACAGTACTACGACGCTTTGCGAGGGCACGGTCTGGTCCTACGCTGTCTGCTTCGCCTGGGACAAACCAAACAAGACAAGTGCGAGCACGATGGCCGTCGGCCGGCGTGGAGATTGGGCCCATCCTTATTTTCCTTAACCAGCGTACATCACCTAGCTAGTCCGCGGATGACTGCATGCGATTGGTCGGTTGGCCGGTTGTGTGGGTTGGGTTCAGTGGTAAGGTTATGACTACGGCTGAGACATGCACGCAGGCGCAGCAGGTACAGTTTCCCCAGGGTTGTGTGCAGATTTGTCACTGTCGACTCCTTTGCGTTGCACTCTCTGAAAATGGGTTTGGAGATTGAACATTGTTCTGGCTCTGAGCCATGATCTCGTTGGGACGCAAGTGTTTACGTCTCTGAGTCATCATCAATTTAACAGGATCCTATCCAAACAACCTGATCACGATTTCAGTGCAGGAGGAACGAGATGGAAATAAACTGAGGCCTATATCACTTTTCTACGTAAAAAAAACACTAGGCCCAAGTGCGCCGTGCCATAATTTTGTACGGGTCTCTCTATCACCAGAGATTGCTCAACACTGCTCCCGACATACGGAGTATATAACAAAAAAGATAGAGGCATAGAGGTAGCGTTTTTTTTCTCGAATACGCAAAAGTATTACGTATCATTGTATTAAGTAGAAGAGTTTAGACAAACATACAACGCGCTTGTATCGAGCGCCGAAGGAGGTCAACCTAACACAGCCGTATTTGTACCATCCTAGCAAGAGACCTCTAGATTCGATATTACATTAAAGGAAAACAACCAATACCGACACAACGGCGCGACCTAGGAGGTGGCCTTGCGTCCATCGCTGGTCGCTCGGACCAAACAAATGAGAAGAGCTCGTCTAGCACTTCACTTGGACGCAGCGATCAGTCTCCGCCAAGAGCTCATCATAGGCCTCCACTCACGCGGATGGCGCCGATGGACCCTTGGTGAAACCCATACACTACATGATCAAGACCTCACCTCACTTGGAAGCGGGTACTCGAGAGAGGGTCGAGCCGCCAACCACCGCTGCCACCACGGCATCAGTGGCTTGGCAGGAGGCTACCTTGGAGGCTCACGAATTAGTGGAGAGTCCCTCTTACGCGTCACTTCGTTGATGAAGCCATTGAGGCGGCGTTTGGCGGAGTCGTCGTTGTCCTCGGTCGGGTGGGTATCCACCGGTGGTGAACTGTGAGGGCCAACATCCACCGTGAGGTTCGGTGAATCCACTGCCCAATGAATGGGGCGTGGAGGTGGTGTCCGCAACGCACAGAAGACCACTGCCGCTGGGTCCTCATCCTCCAGCTGGGGGGCCGCCAATGCCGGAGACTCATCTTGTAGTTGGGGGGGGCATCGGAGGTGACAACGGGCGCTCAAGAGAAGGCCATGCGACGATCCGACTGCTGGCGAGCGAGGCTACGAACTCCTCCAACATCGGGTCTTCCATGATGTCGCGACCATGCGTGGCGTCCAGGCACGGCGTCAGTGTCAACGGGTCAGGCTGGACGATATCCGTCTCATTGGATAGCTCACCGTGCCTAGGCTGAGCTTCAGCAGCAACCGAGGTGAAGGACGGAGTTGTTCATGCGGCGGCCTCGCCGACCGCTTTGTGGACGCCTCCGTCTTCGGCGCCGGCGACCACCGGTGGCAGGAACGACGTTGCCCGACTTGACCCCACCAGAGTCTTGCGAGCCACCATGGTCCGTCGGCCCATCAGAGCCGGCGTTACGGGTGCCACGAAGAGGGCGCTGCGACTGGCGACCCATGGTTGTCGCATTGCCCGAGGTCTGAGAGCCCAAGCGCCTTGGCTTCTTGTAGTCGCGCGTGTCGAAATCCCCTGCACCGTAGACATCATTGGGGCAGCTTTCAAGTTGTCGCCCGGTGTGCAAAGGAGAGGCAATTGAGGCATTTGCCGTGAAGATCTGCCAGGATGCGCCTCGGTGGTTGAAGACTCATCGGCGCAGGCATCCGCTTGCCGCCCTCGTGGCTCAGTCGAGGCGGCCACAGGTCGTGTCTCCTGTCGGTGGAGTATCTCCCGCCACCCATCGACGTTGGGGACAGAGACCTGTCCACGGCGTCTGAGGCGCTGGCATGCCGAGATACGGCCCTCCACTGGCCAAGCCGGCATGCCGTACAACAATTGTGGGCGCGACCGACTGCGTTTCCCCCAGCTTCACCTAGCACCCTAGCGACCCGCCACCGCACCGCCACGGCCCGACACCAGAGGTTGGGTGTGCGGCAGGGACATCGCAGGCAGCGCCGATGTCCTCGAAGGCTGTGGCTCCTGATGAACCATGTCTAGGTAGGGGGTCATGGAGGTGGTTGGCATCTCTTCCGCATCGGAGTCGTCGAGGAGGTCATCGTCTACCCAACGATGGCATTGGAGCGTCCCGCCGTGCGACCCCCCAGGATGGAAGGGACAACTTGAGGGGAAAGGGTGGACGATGGGCTCGGGGCAGGGGCGGACGGGTGAACGAGGAAGGCATCAAGGTCGAAGGCAGCGGGGGCTGCACACTCCCCTGCTCTGGCCTCCGCGCACTATGCTGCGACGGCGGTGGCGGCATCATCCGGTCGTGACCGCGAGGGTGGCGTGGATGCGGCGGATTTGGTCACGCCGGTGTCGGCAGCTCCCGGTGGCGGGGTGGCTGCAGCAGGTGGCACCGGAGATGGCCAAGATGGGCTCATCGGCCGCTGCGTCGATGGTACCGCGGAGGACTCGTGGTCGTCAGATCCAGAGTCCGCACGCGTCCCTGGGGCAACCATGGCCGCGGACCTGGGCGTGGTGGCCGCGGCAGTAGTGCCCGTCTGGGACGGGGATGGGGAGGGAGTTCATGAGGTAGCATCGTGCGGTAGGGGGCTATCGGGGACCTAATACCGGGGTACCCAATGAGGTGGAACTAATAACCATCGAACGTTGACGCTTCTGGACAGACAAGAACGCTACTAGACTTCTTGCCCGAACAACGGAAGATTGGTTCTGCCTCGCCTGACCCCCGAGGGCTACGGCTCCGCCTCACCCGACGTCTGAGGGCTGGATCCACTTCGTCCGACGGCTGAGGGCAGGCTCCACCTCGCCCGAACACCTGAGGGCTGGCTCCGCCTCGCCCAACGTTTGAGGGCTGGCTCTGCCTCGCCCGACCACTGAGGGCAGGCTCTGCCTTGTCCTCTTGCCTAGTGCCTGAGGGGTGGCTCCGCCTCACCCGACGGCTACACCCTGTTCCTTCATAAATATGAGCACAGGGTACGACAAGACATTCGAGTCAACCACAGTACCGAGGGCCATGCCCTGCATGCCTGTAGGAAGGTACTGTCAGGATACGATGGGACGGGCGCTTTAGGCCCTTTCTGACATGACAGAGCCCAAATAGTGTTGTAGGCGCCGACTTTTGTCCCATAGTGTTGTAGGCGCTGCCATCAGCCCTTGGACGTAGATACTAACACGAGCATATGACAACCACTATGATCCAAGACAGAGCTCACATCATCCACAGTGATGGATGTATGGTCACTTCCCCGTCTACTCCCCGAAAGGGTCACAACTCGGCTCTCTGGCACGCCGCACCATCCGCCGGTGTAGGATGGGACGCACCCACTTGCTAAAAGAGGCCAGGGCACGGCCCCATGAGGATAAACGAACACGCCATTCCTGGCATGATCTGCCATGTTAGCGGTAGGCGGCATGGGGAAAAAGGAAGACCCGGCTCCTCAAGGACTTTCTCTACCTTTGGTTTTTCCTCTTTCTCCCATCTCAGAACCCCCTGCACCCCTTGGTCTATAAAATGGAGGGCAGGGCACCCCACTAAGGGGACGGATCAATTTCATACAGAGAACAATGGACCAATCGCTCTCGAGACACAAGATGTCAAATCGATCCCACTCAACACACAGTCAAGCAGCAACTGAGCTCTTGGCATCCTTTCAACCTTTCCATCAGAGACTTGGGACTTGTCCCTCTCTCGACTGTTTGTACCCCCTACTACAAACCCTTTTCTAGTACTAATAACACGAGTAGTAGCAAACTGAACGTAGGGACATTCAGCCTGAACCAGTATAAACCTTGTGTCCTTTAGTATACCATCCGAGCCAAACGCGCAACAATTATAAATTCACTAGCCGGTGTTTGTTCGAAACACCGACAGTTGGCGCGCCAGATAGGGGCCTTTGCGCATTCCAAATCAGGCCTCGGATGGCTAGTCACGCAATTAGCTGGGTCCCGGGCGCACATGTGCGCTTTGGTGACCTAGACTTCATCATCACGGTGGGAGGAGAGTTGGCTTTGGCCCACGTTGCCATCCAATCTCTCCCCTCCATCGGCTTCAACTACGGGAGACTTGAGCGTCGGTCCGGCGTCTTCCTTGGACCCCAGCCGTCTAGGGAGGACCCACGCTGCCTCACCCTCTCTCTGTGACACTCTGCACGGAGCGCCCCGATGGTGCTTCCATTCGGTCTCCGCAACGCCGCGGCAACCGTTAGCCACCTTGTGGCACAACGCACGGTCTCGCCCCCCGCGAACAACGAGTTCATGGGAATGATCGAAAGCATCATGGAATCCCTCCACGGCCTCCTCGTAGAGGGGCCAGGGTCGGACTCTGGCTCTGACTCTGGCAGGGGGAGCCACCACCCCTCCTGGGAATGTTTCATGGCGGATACTTCCGAGGGACATGTCAAAAGCGTCTCCGCGAAGGAGGCTACCCCGGTAGGCAACCTCAACGGCAAAATCGAAGGAGATATAGCGGGCCCACCTCGCATAGGGGTGGAGAAGCTAAGAGCCCAGAAGCAGGAGATCAATGAAGCCGGACAACAGCTTGTTTGGGAATACGCGGAAGTCGATCGGGAGATTGAACGCCACGGAGACGGTGGCCAAGCGCCGCCGCGGGCCGTGACGTGAACCGGCGATCATCGCCATGACGATGAGACCCTTCTCCACTTCGCCGCAAGCCGTAACATCACCACCGCAATGGCCTTGCTTCATGGCCTTCTAGAGGCCGCAACGCCTCGAGGATCGTCGGGCCTACCTCGAAATTCGCACGCTGCTTGAGCGTGCGGCGGCGCAGCAGGCGAAGAGCTCATTGTCTCAATGACGCGAGCTCGACACTAGCCAGCACACGCCCTCGATGCGCCCCGCTAGGGATGCATCAGTCCACCAGGCTCCACAAGGCGGCGGCGCAAGCGTACCTTGCAGCCAGATACATCAGCGTCTCGGCCAGAATCGCGATGCACGCAGCACCATCGACGCCAGTGATTTAACCTATAGCGACCTAAGGAAGGAGCCCACCGCAGCTATCATCCTCGATGTGGCGGATTTGCATGACGACAATGGCGAGGACCGGAGCCCGAGCCCTAGCCTGCCAGGGCCTCAGGCCTTCAGCCGGCACATCCTCAACGCTGCATTCCCGCCAAGGTATCGACCACCTTACAATATCCCTAAGTACTCTGGGGAGACAAACCCCGCACTTTGGCTTGAAGACTATCGGCTTGCTCGTCAAGCGGTGGAGCGAATAATGACGACTTCATTATCCGCAACCTTCTCTCGTTTCTTGGCCGATTCGAGACGCGCGTGGTTGGAACACACGCCATCCAACGCAATCCAGAGTTGGGCGGATCTGAAAGAGATCTTTGTGGGAAACTTCCAAGGCACATACAAGCGCCATGGGAACCCATGGGACCTCAAGAACTGCCGTCAGAAGGCCAATGAGACCCTCCGTGGGTATATCCGGTGCTTCTCTCGGCAGTGCAACGAGCTTCCTAATGTCACCGACGCTGACGTAATAGGAGCCTTCCTATCCAGGACGACCTGCGAATCCTTGGTTCATAAGCTGGGATGCAAGGGCCCACGAACCACCATGGAACTTCTGGACATCGCCACCAGCCACGCCTCTGGAGAAGAGGCGGTCGAAGCGATCTTCGATCGCCTTGAAGGCAAGGCAAGGCAGGACGAGGGTGCCGGTGAAGGCACCTCTAATGGTTCTGCCAAAAGGAAGAACAAGAAGCAGCGGTGCAAGAACTCGCTCGTGGCCGTTGCTAACCGTAAGGGTGGTCGGAAGCCCACGGAGGGCACTCCGAACCACTTCGAAAAATTACTTGAGGGGCTGTGCCTGAACCACACCTTTCCCGTAAAGCATCTGCTCAAGGACCGCAGCCTCATGCAGAAGTTCTTGTCCGGAAGCTCCAACAAAGGGGAGCAGGGGAAGGAACCTGCCCCCACTATGGATGATGCCAAGGAGAAGGACGATGGCTTTCCAACACCAGACGGCTACCTTATGATCTTCGGAGGCTCGACGGCCTACGACTCTAAACGTCGTCAGAAGGTCGCACGCCGCGAAGTCTACATGGCCCAACCGGCCACACCTCCCTTCCTCCGGTGGTCAGAATCCGCCATAACCTTCGATCGGACCGACCATCCGGATACCGTCCTGCCCCCGGAGAGATATCCGCTTGTGGTCGACCCGATCGTCGGCCCAAAATGACTCACCAAAGTACTGATGGACGGAAGCAGCGACCTCAACATCGTGTACGCCAAGACGCTTGACGTGATGGGCGCCGACCGGACGCGCCTCCACCCAACCCGAGCGCCTTTCCATGGCATCGCGCCCGAAGCAAGCCATGCCACTTAGATGAGATCGATCGCCCATCACCTTCGGGGACCAGTTCAATTATAGGACTAAGACTCCCACCTTCGAGGTGGTTGGGTTCTCCGGAACCTTCCACGTGATCCTAGGGGCGACAATGCTACGTGAAGTTCATGGCCATCCCCAACTATATATACCTCAAGTCAAGATGCCGGGCCCTCATGGGGTCATCACCGTCGGCACCTCCTTCCAAAGACGCCCACGAAAAGCGAGGTCGAAAAGCTATGGCCACGCCACGGCAATCGTCGCCTCCGGGGAACTCGTCACTCTCAGGGAGGAGGTCTCCGAAGAAGCGCCCGACGCGAAGAAAATGACCGAGTCATTCGAATCGGCAGAGGGCTCCAAGGGGGTCCTCATAGATCCCAAAGAAATCGAGGATAAAACGTGCGCGATTGGTACCACGCTTTCCTCTGAATAGGAAAGCACGCTCGTCGGCTTCCTCCGTGACAACAAATACATCTTTGCGTGGAAACCCTCGGATATGCCAGGCATTCCGAAGGAGGTCGCCAAGCATACCTTGAAAATCCATCCAGGCTCCAAACCGGTGAAGCAGCGTCTGCATCGCTTCGACAAGGAGAGGTGCAGGGCCATCGATGAAGAGATAGCAAAAATGTCGGCTGCCGGATTAACCAAGGAAGTATACCACCAAGAGTGGTTAGCTAATCCCGTTCTTGTATGAAAGAAGAGCAGGAAATGGAGGACGTGTGTTGACTATACGGGCCTCAACAAAGCATGCCCAAAGGATCTATTTCCTTTGCCGCGCATAGGCCAAATAGTCGACTCTACCTCGGGGTGCGAAACCCTCTGCTTCCTTGATGCGTACTCCAGCTACCATCAAATCGTGATGAAAGAGTCCGACCAGCTCGCGACATCTTTCATCACCCCCTTCGGATCGTTCTGCTATGTCTCAATGCCGTTCGGTCTAAAGAATGCTAGGGCTACGTACCAGCGTAGTATGCTCAAATGCTTCGGGGACCTCATCGGGCGGATCGTTGAGGCCTACATTGACGACATCGTGGTTAAGTCCAAGCGGGCTGACCATCTCGTTGCCGATCTTGAGCAAACCTTTGCGAAACTCCGAGCGAATGGCATCAAACTCAATCCCAAAAAATGTGTTTTCAAGGTCCCGAGGGGCATGCTGCTCGGCTTTGTAACACCCTAGGTGTTTAGGCTTCCACTAATTGCATTTCATTTCATAAACATATGC